GATTGCATGGCTAAAATAGCTTTCTCGGGAAATCCGAATTACAAAAAAGGCGAAACATATACGGTCGTCATCAGATCTACATAGAAGAAATCAGTAGATCTGAACTTTAGTCAGAGTGATACCTTGCCACCCTTGTTTTTATTGTTTTTTTTTTCTTCATATTTGTTGGATTACTCTTGCTTATTGTAAAAAACGAATAATATCAACAGTCTATAAAAGATATTTATATTTGTGTATGGAAAAAGGAGTCAATAACTTTTTTCACTGGTATTCTTGTCAATTTCTCCCGTCTTTCTTTAGTCATATTATGCCATTTATATTTAGCACATTCACCAAGTACATGTATTTATTTTATAGCAACTGTTACGCCTTTGGCGAGGATTCTTTTTTAGTACTAATAATTGTGGTTTAACCCACCTGTGTTAAAATGTTCAAATAGTATAGTTCTTTTGCAATGTCTGTTGTCATGTAATTGTGGCCACTGACTAAATAAAAGGCTTTTGTTGTTGTTATTGTTGGCTAGTGCCTTTCGCTGTTGTTTATAAGAAGCTCTGAGAGCATTGGTCAAGTAGTGCAGTATTGTCAATTGGTACAGTATTCAGTTTACATGTTAAGTCATGCATTTTATGCTCCTTTCATGCATGGAATCAGCTTACGAGAACCTTAATGTGTTTTACACTTATGTAAATCAAATATATATTCATAAACTTGTCTTACAATTACCCAGTCATTATACGATGATTGTAACAAAATAATTGCATTACACTTTAGCCCAAATGCCTTTTATATGTTTGAAGACGATAGAGATGAAAATATCATTTCAAGGCACACCTTTTCTATGTACCAATTTAATATGATACAGACAAACTATCAAAGATGTTAACATTTATGCAATATTTATTTTCCCTTTTGAAATGAGCTGTATCAGTCACGATTCAATTTATCATTGTACAACGTAAGTGTTGTATATTTTAATCTGGTGCGTAATGATATATATATTTGCAACAATATCATAGTATTATATGATGGCATGATAACTTCCCTACCCCCGTCCTTCAAATTATACACGATGAAAATGTAATGAGTTTATAAATATATAATACTGTACCAGAATGACGTTTTCTAAACAATATTACGTGCACAGACAGAACATACGTAATACAAATATGTTTAAAACATTTCTAATCAGGCACTTTGATTGAGAGTTTAATTGTAATTGTGTCATAAAAACAGAAAGTTTAAATAAAATGAAATAAAAAAAATAATTAGACGCCGCGTGCACGCGGCGTCTAGTAGATATGCATTTGTTCAGTTAGCAATGGGGAAAATTTTAGTCTTGTTTTTGTTTATTTTTTTTTGTTCTAACAAAATTACGCATTTTTCAGATTTTCGTATAAAAATAGCTTTTCTGATGATCGACATGTGGAATTAAATAAACGTTTAACAAAAGTGATACTTCCATGTTTAACTATAACATTCTTTTAATCTTTATCTTTTTTATTATTATTTACCAATAAAATAACGTGCCAATAAGCCAGTCTATATTCTAAAGCAGGAAATTATCAAGTGGAGTATCCTCGGATATTATCAATATCAACAAATAGGACCGAAAAGTTGCGGTTGAGGAAATTAGGGTATAATCAGCGTAATGCGTTTACTTACCGTAATTCATTTTCAATCGATATATCCATGTAGAACATGTTTTACAACAAAGACGGATAAGTGTAAACTTGCATTTTAAAAATAATAAAAATGGGTTGAATTGAAAATTTTAAATGTACAAACATTTTATTATGCCTCGGCCAGTCGGGGAGTATTTCTTGACACTGTAGACTAGGTGGGTTTTGGTTATTGTTTTAACACCAATGGATTATTTTGCGGCGTCTTTGATGTGCAGCATCAACATTTAACTTCTAATATCACTGATTTTTTTATTCGCTGTAGCAATTATAATCTGGTCGGGGTTTCATTTTGCCTCTACAGGGGCAAACATAAATAATATACTTGCAAGGATGATCAGTCACATTTACTTCCCTTTAAGCATACTTTATAAAATGGTATTTTTTTACTAATTTAAAAAAATCGTATGAGAATGTTTTATCTTGACTTTTGGTTTTATCCTCCATAAATATTTTAAAAAAAGATAACTAAATAAAATCTATTTTATTAATATTAAAAACATAAATAAATACAATCTCATTAAAATCATATCCTAACTGTCGCTCAACTACTCTACGCACGTAGCGAAGAGTAACGGAGCGAAAACGATAATCTGATTTTAATGAGACTGAAATCAATAAAACAAACAAATAGATAAATTACAATTTATGAAACAAATAAAAAAATCTTTATAGCAATATATAAAATACAGTTGTGTTGACATATTTTCTATAATAACATTCTTTATTAAATCTTAATTGACATGGCAATAGGACTTTTAGTAATAAATATTACCGTGTGAAAGAAACAGATTTATATGCAGGAAGGTACGATAACTGCATCAGAATTAGATACCGGTTTGACTACAAATTTAATTTTCAGAATAATTTGATACTCAACATGACTCCGAATAATGCTCAACCAGTAAAAGCACTGATTATACCATTGATAAAGGAAGAAGATCAAAATAAAACAAACAAGTAATTTATTTCTTTACACTTTTGTATAGCTTTACAAGATATCGCATATGAATAGAGGTTTTACTTTAATTAGACAACCATACATGTATATACTTGAAAACTGCATTAACGAAAGCAATAGCAATTTATCCATAAATGACTTTTTAGCTCCCTAGTGAGATCAGGTTTATCATTGAAAACAAGCTGCTTTTTAATAATACAAGTTCTAAAACATCAATTTTAGACTTGTGTAGACAACCTTTTCTATCCATGCTTCCAGTGCAGACAATAATCATGCATTCTGATCATGATCTGCGCTGTTTGCTTTTCAGTTGTTAGTTTCGTCCATAAGATGATTAGCGTGGTGAGGGTTAATATTATATTCCTTTGAGAAGGTAATGTTTTCATTGACTTCTCATAATTTCTAAAAAAACCATTCTGTTCACGATATAATTAAAGAAAATAAAGATGAACTACTTGAAGATTAAAAAAATCATCTACGATGGAAATCTACTTCAGAAAACCTAGCATGTCACCTTCGTGAAAGGACAGAAACATCTTTTACATTTTATGATTTAAGAGGAAGTAATTAAAAACGAATGATATGCAATCATTTGTCTAATAAAGGTTTTATTGTTGCCAGGTGATCACGTGAATATATTCATTACGACAATCATCAATTATCACGACACGACATCACCGCCTGTTCTAAAGGATTTAATGTCGTATACTGTATTTTTTTACTAATAAGTGTTTTCGTTCGTTAATGGATTTTGTTGTAACGTGTAACCATGTTTTGTTAGAAATGTATCTTGAACTGATATTTTAAAGTGTTGATAATTTAATAAATAGCAAAGTATAAGTAGAATACACGTCAAAAATTCATTTATTACAACATACGAAGATTATAACATATATTCCTAATATCAATTGCCATTTTTATTAGTTAATAATGATCTATTATTATTATTATTATTATTATTATCTGTAAATAATATTAATTTCACATAAAAAAAGAAAAATAGTTGAAAGTTAGTCAGAGACTGATAAATCCTTTAAACGATTTCTTTCAATCCGTCAAATAGCCTAGATGCTTCAAAATGCAATAAATCCTATCCTAAAGTATTTTGGAGGAAAATGGTATAAACTCCGTATAAACTTGGTATTAACTGTAACAATAGTTTATAAGAATGTAAATAACTTACATCAGATGAGCTGTATTCCAAATTCTCTATGCCGTTTTCTATAAAACGCTGACATTCCCGTAACATTGTATGCACCATCATTGTAATTAAAGTGACATTGAGCTGAAATGACTTTATATTTCACAAGATTGACTGTTTAAATGGTGTCTGACCAACTGTTGATATTGATATTGGAAAATGTTCAGGATAAAATATAAAACTGCCTAAAATATAAAAAAGACTGCCCACTCTTTTGATAAACTGAGCATTAAAGAAATTTGGTTTCGATCTGTGCATTACTTATTGTTTATGGAAAGTAAATTATTAAATTAAAAGGTATTATGGCAAAATGAAAACTTATTTTGATAATCACCTGTTCATTCACTATATACCTTTGACTGCGCATAATGTCACTTTAATGTATGTTATATATTTAAGAAATAATATCGGTCTCAGTGGTGTTTATCGGCCTTTTAACACCGCCTTGGAGCTTTGACGCGTAGGAATTGACCATTTCAAACTTGAGTCTGACTGTTCCTGACGCTCTGACAAAACGTATTATGGCGTTGTCCGTCCGTATGTGCGTCCGTCTGTCTGTCTTTGGTTTCTGCAGCAAAAACTTTGACTGTGTTTATATTTGTCATGTATGTATCTTATAACGGGTATTTAAACTCACGTTCGATTTTCTTTGCAATCCACTTATTGATAATAGAGGTATGTCCATTGTTAATCATTTTTATAAAAATGAGTGCTTACACTTTTCAACAATACGGTCAGGCATAGTTTCTCGTCTATGCCAAGATAAATTCTTGCGTGCTCTGGCTTTTTTTCAAATATCTTGGATCTCGTCATGCCCCATAGTTTAACATGTCTGCTCAGAATCTTCTATTCATGAACTTACCAGCACAGGTATTCCCTATTCTGTGCTTGTCACCACTGTCGTCGTCACTGACTCTAAATGGTCTGAGAGTGCTTTCAGACCAAAATTCCCTCAACATGCTAGGATAGACAGGATGACTGGCAGACAGACGCCATCACCTACTGATGGACAGAATGATAGACAGACCAAAACAATATACCCCCGAATTTTTCAATACAGGGAACATAAAAAATAAAATATTTCTATAAGATGAATTGTAATCTTATATCTTATTCATGAATGTCACGTTTACAGCAAAACTGATCCAATTAATGGACGGTAGAGGACGGTAGAGGATGTCCTACAGAACATGTCAAGGTGAGATATTTATTATGAACAATATACTGAACATAAACTTAGTCGAGAAAGTTAACTTGTGCAGACAACTGGATAAGGATTTATGCTGAAAGAGCATTTAAATGTCCGTGTCCGGTTTAAATCCTAAAATTGTAAATAATAAACATAAAGTTATTTCCAAAGGGAATTATGAACAGGAAAAGTGTACCAAGTTAGGGATATGTTCAACCAAAATTATAAATGCGACATATGTCGGCACACACACTTAAAAGGTGTCATAAATGCATCTTATATCGGAAATTTAGAAGGCAGCCTGGCATCGCATATACATCCTATGAAACAAAAGACCCCAAAGGTAAGCAATAAATGCTGGTGATGCTGATATTGTTATTGTTACAAAATCTATTTACAATTTATTATCTTGAATGTATGGACACGCAATATACATTCATTAAGTCCTTTTTACATTTCATGTTAAATTTGACAATGCCTATATATTCTTTTATAAATTAATATTTAAACCCAAATGTCTTAGGAATATGAGCTGTGTTTCTTCTAGAAAACAGCGATTTTTTATTAAAGATCTCACACAGTGAAAAAGATTGATCATGATTTGCAATTACAGCACGTTACTCAAATACTTATTATCGATAAAGTCTAATTTCAAAAGTTTTGAAAATTATCTATAAATAACATTAAAAAATTCAAATCAAATTAAAAGTTCCAATTATTATATAAAGTGGTTTACCTTTAACTTCATTTAGACAGAGCTTTATGGAAGAAAAATTAAAAACCTTATTGAGCATAAAGTAAATTTCAAACATGAAAGGGCCATCCTGAATAATTTTGTACCTTTTTGTTATTCCTATTTATATTTTAGCATGCTACCGCTATGTATTTTATCGTATCTTAAGGGCTCAACAGACATGGATTAAGAAATACAACGCCATTAAAATTAGATGCGTATGCATGTCTTTATGTGTAGGCTACTTTATCTTGAATTCGTAAAACGTTCTACTAGTTTTACAGGATAGGACATGTCATTTTTGTTGTACATACCTCCCCCGATGACAAATGACAGATGCGTAATAATGAAATTCTTGAACAATTAGAGATAAAATGTAAAAATAAGATTGACGTGGAGACAATAATACCCCCAGGACGAAACAAAAGAGAAGAAAATAGTACACTTTTATAAATATTTCTCAGCATGTCAGAGAACTAGAACGAGACAACCTTCCATTAGACGAAGGAATTAGGTTGTATGATATGCAACGATTACCAGTATCATCATTAACTGATCCTATTGAAGTTAGACAAACTATTTTAAATCAAAATGACAAGGAAAAAAGGAGAAAAGAATCACATAATAAAGGTATAAACAGTTTTATCAGTTTTGAAAGGCGACTCCGGTTTTATTTCATAACATAAAATACATTTGAGTGTTTTCCTTTGGAAGTAAATATTAAATAATTGTCATCTTTATAAATTCTGACTTCAAATAAATATCATTTAATATGCAAATATCATAATAAAAAAGGAAACATTCTTTTCGTCTTAAATTTGACAATTAATGACATCCAGATAACAATTTATAGAATACCATTTTAGTAGAAAAGAAGAGAATAAATGTCATCAATGACAACATTAGAGAACTAGGAAACTTACTCCCAGAAGATGCCAAGAGGTAAGCAAAACGACTTGCAATAACAAATCAATCAATTAAATTTCAGTAATGCTTTCATACATTACGCTAATGATCTGCTTACTCACTATCTACTAGCGTTTGATGAATTTGAGGTATTCTTGAAGAGTGCTTTTATTCTTTATTCAATATATACTGCAAACGCAATCTTTTAAAAGAAGCGTGTGTTTATAATTTTACACATTTTGTCCATTTACACATTGCAATATATGTGTTCAATTTATGTTTAGACGATCAAAGCAACGGAAGGGGCTAATTTTGAAGGAATCTGTTGATTATATAAAGAAACTGCAAAAAGAACATGATGTTGTTCAAGGACTTCAAAAGAAAATTGACGATGTTTATAACGAGATTGAAAAACTATCGACAAGACTTCAGGTATTATTCTAAGAAATATTATTTTGCCATTAAAAAATTATATGTGATTGAAATATGGTATAGTTGATTTAACGTCTGCTTTTCTTGATGATTTACAACTTGAGATGGCTGCATTAAGTTGAATATTAGGTATATTCTTATTTCCTTTGTAGCAGGTAGAATTGCGGATGCAGATTTCAAATAATGGATGCAACTGCCATGAAGAAAAAAGGAAGGTCTGTGCTGAGACAAATGAAGAAAATGATTTTTCAAAATATTTGTTTTGAAAACGTGCTTTCTTTCTACGCAATTCACCTACAACAATATTTCAAGTGGCGACGTAAGATGTAAAATCAAATTATCAATTATTGTAAACATCAGCGCATTCTTAAACATTGAGTTGTCAGATTTTATCTGAAATCAATTTAAAGCTGTAGTTTATAAATTATATATATTTTTAAAAAATAACAGGAATTGCTACATTCGTTAATATAATTGGTTTCCCATCGATATCAGCTCTTATCTTGATGTCCGGAGTGCCAAAATAAGTGTATTAGCAAACATACCGCTTTATGGCGAAATCGTATGTACAATTTCATTTGCACAGGAAACTCCGTCTTCCTGCCATTCAAACGTCAACAGAAATCAACAAGAACTTTTAGTAGCGGCTCAAGAAGACGTTTCTTAATTTAACGATATTCATTTGAAGTAAACATTCTCTACCACATTTAGTATTGCGTTAAGCAGTATTTAATAAAAAAACTGGAAAATTGATTGACGAAAATGAAAACAAAAATAAAGAAACTGGAAAAACACAACAGAAACGAACTTTTGAATTCATCTTGAGGAAATTGTAATCCGTCTCTAGGATTCTACTGAAAAAAAATGTCTATTAAAGTGATAGGCATTCAGTGAAAAACAGGTTTGAATCAAGTCATGTAATCAAATGGTAATCAATCATAACAATGAAAAGCTGCCTTAAGAAATTTTGGGACAAGTTACACTTAGCCGATTACATTCTAAACTACACTACACAGAATAATTATTATGTGTTTATTTTTTTTTAGGTAAATACTTTAATTCCTAACAACCATTATCATAACAAACATATACATGTAAATGTTTGAAAATGCATGCACCAAGAAATGATGGTATTACAAATCCAATCAGTTATATTTCGTATATTGCCGATTTTCTTAAAACCCATTTTTTAGTCAGCATGAAATTGTAAATGCTTTGATTAACAGTGAAGCATCTTGTCAATGAAATATACATACTTTTAAAATCGCTATAAAATGAACAAATTAACATGAAATAAAATTCATCCATATCTATCCCAGACATATATACATATTGCAAATTTTCTTTGGCTTCTTTCAAAATAGTTATTTAATCTGTCATTTAATTATACTAACAATGTATAGATACACTTATAATGAAACCAATGTAAAGTATTATCGTTACGGTGCAAAACAGTTAGAAAAGCTACAATATGTCAAAAGGACACTTATACTTCCACTTCATTTACTGTAACAATGGCAAATTAACATACTTATGCATATTTACAAATGACAAATGTTATATTTATAAGTTCATATATAGTGTGATAAAGTGTAAAGCTTATAAATTTTACAAATCAAGGAAGCAATTGTTCTCGATCAGACATGTGCCTTTGCTCTTATGACATCAAAATCATCTACTTATATCAACTAGCCATGCCAAATCTTGTGACTATTGGCCAAAGTATCAAAGTCACCATAGCCTTGTCCACTCAAAGTTTCTTTTCGGCCAATGATTTAGCCTATATTGAGAAAATGCTTTGGCATACAATATGTTATACCTAAAAGAGGACCTTCCTTATCGTGAGGTCAGTAGGGCAATGATATAGGTAACAATTACCCTAACTATTAAAAGCTTTTCCAGCTTACATCTAGAAAACATTAAGGTGTAAAGGCCTAAGATAAACTTTAACGATTGGTCATGACTGGTACATTTTGGTTTTGGTCACCTTGGCCCTAACCACTAAAAGCTTTTAAAACAGACTACTAGAGTCCAGAGATGTGGTGTTGGGGTTATTCACAATAAGTAAATGCCCATTTTAATTTTGAAAGTCAAAGGTCATCCGACCAATAACTCTTGTTTGGGTTTTAAATCTCCCTACTAAAGTGAGGCTATATGTCGACTTTCCAGCTTTACTGGCTGAGGGAGACTTCAGGTGCTCCATCGTGCAATATTTCAGGCTCGAGCCGGAGTAAAACCACCGAGGTTCCTTTAGCTAATTGTGAGAATTTTCATACATATACATGTATATACAACATATCAAATCAATTATCATAGTGTTACATTTTATGTAATAGTAGTTGTCAGGAATGTCTACCAAGGCTATCGGGCATCACCTTGACTATACTATACTTTTATAAGCCGGTTCACATATAGTAAATTACAATGACCACCTATATGCCGCAATGCCATTAATAATACAGAGCTTTGATGAACTATATTCAACGTAACACTATCAAGACATTGCCTTTGCCAGCTAGATACCTTGACTAAATTCCACTAGAACATGTTTTGGATTGGAATAAAAAGATCTTAACACTAGTCTGCATTATGCATTGTGTCACAATTCAGCAAATTATTCGTCTGGCGTATGGAATGAGATGCAGGTGGGGGAAGAAGTCATATATGCACGTTGACGGTTCACGAGGCATTAATCTTATTGTGTAAAATTACATGTGAATGCTTTAATAAACAATTTTACGAAAACAATTGCAACACAAAATTGTATTTATCAGTACACATCTCTTTACTACCAATTTATGTATTTTGCACCCCTTTCTGCTCTTATGTTTAAAATTATTATATTTTGGTTCATTAATGATAAAAGTTATATCATGATAAACGTGCAGCGTATAAAATAACTTTATTCAAAACATTTACATTTATGTTTGATATACTGTGGTTACCTGTAGAATCCATGTTGATTTTTATTTTAAGAAAGAGCTTAATTTGAGAGCTTTATATTGCTTCATACCTTTGATTTAAATTTTACTTGTAGCAACAGTCGAATATTGTTAATCAAATATATCTTTAAATAAACAACCACGTGATTCAAATATTGTCATGTATCATATGACAACATATTTCTCATTAAATTACAATGACATTATAGATTTAGTATTGTTTTACGAAACAATATAGCCGTTGTTATATAAATGATCCCGTGATGTAATTAATGAAGCCACAATACGACATTTTGATCATTTTCTTTCTAAGAAAAAGAAAATAGCAACTAAAATATTTACATGCATGACAAAATATGTTCTTAAAGGTTAGAAATGTAATGTAAGCTTTAGACGTATACGTAACTCAAAAATAAGTAAAAGATGTATTCCGTTTATAGAAATTGCTGTGGAAAAGTTCGTTGAAATAGAAAAAACTTTTTTTTAAAATTTCCAAAGATATGAAATCTGTAAACTTCGTTCAAAAAGGCAAATTGTGAAATGGTTAACTCAAAACACCGGTGTACATATATTTCCCGTTAACTCTTATCTTTGTTTTAAAAAGCCCTATTTTTAACTCTAACCTTTGTTTTAAAAGATCCATATTTTTTATTCATGACGCCATCATATCATGGCATTACATTGTTCTTGTTAAAAAACAATTCTCTTAACATTAACAAACAATGTTTTTCAACTTCTTTTTTTAAAAAATTATATTGATGTTCTTCTTTAAATTAAACACACTTTAATCACGAGGACCAGTATTTCTGGTATTGAATTGTGCATTATCTTTTCTTAGTATAAAAGGTTCTATCAGCTAAGTAAATATTGTAAGCCACCAAGCTTACAACCTGACTTTTAAGGTTTTTAACTAGTGTGAAAACTAATAGTAATAAGAAACACCATCAATGTTTTCTCTTCTGTATTGATGAAGATAACAAATTCAATTTTATATCATCAAATATAATAATAAATTATGTAAGAATTTATATTTTATCTACTAAGGCGCGCGGTTGCAACAGAAATGGGATCACCAGTTGCATAGTGTTGATGTTAACAAGCTTGATTACAACGTTGCTATGTAAACAAAACCCGGCTTATGTAAATAAACGGAATTACTTCCTTCGTTTGTAAATAAGAGGGACTCAAACACTTAAAAGATTGTTGTTTTCTTAAGAGATAACATGTTTTGTGTGTAACTTACTGAATAACTATATTGATAAAGTGTTTCTTTGAAAAAAAAATCCCAGCGTCTTACCTACTAAGGTAGCTTACAACAGGTGCCATTTTCGGTTACAGCCGCCCTTATATTGCTGTCGGATGTTGTAAACATAGCGTCTGCCAATCAGAACTTGCAAACATAAAAATGCGTAAAAAGGTTCTATTATGTTGTCAAATAAATAACCATCATTCATTCGACATACATACAATGCTAAACATAACAAGAGGTTACTTAATAATGACTGATAATCATAAAATTTATCAAAATATCAAAAATACTCTTGACATATAGAAATAATAGTTGCCAAAATTTGCCACTTTTCATGGAAGTGCACATTGAAGGTTCCATGATAACCGCCGTATGAACACATCTGCGGGTGTTTCTAAATTCAAAGTTTTACTATTTCATGTTTTAATGTTGAAATCTGCTTAAGCCGGTGCTAGGGGCGTGGACGGTAACTTGCACTTTCCAGTACCGTCCATGAACAGGCTCAATCAAACCGAGCCTGCTTTTTAAATTTGTCTTTTGACGTCTTATCTGTGATATGCAGGCTTCATAACCTCAGATCCCCTTTCAAAATTCCATTTTATTTAGTTCCGCCCATTGTTTTCACGTTTAGGGCAAAAGCATTCTTCAGTGTTGTTATATTTTCTGGTCCTTCGGGATCATTGATGCCAACACTATAAAGTGTTGAGAATTGAGTACCGCTCAAGCCGGTGCTAGGGGGCGTGAGGGATGTTGCACTTATTCATTATCCCTCATGTACAGACTCAATCAAACCGAGTCTGCAATTCTTATGTTATTTTGTTGTGATTAATGCTTCCGAGGGATCACTTTGTTTCCAGAATTTTTTACTTGGGGACCATACGCCGCTTTTCATGGAATGGCACTACTGTGTCACATTAAAGGTTCCATGATAACCGCCGTATGAACACATCTGCGGATGTTTCTAAATTCAAAATTTCACCATTTTCGTGTTAAATGTTGAATTCCGCTTAAGCCGGTGCTAGGGGGCGTGGACGGTAACTTGCACTTTCCAGTACCGTCCATGAACAGGCTCAATCAAACCGAGCCTGCAACATTTTCAATTGTGTTGTGTTGGACTTTCTTTATGGATTCTGTATTTCTCTATTCTATTGCACTTTCCAGTACCGCACTCCATGAACAGGTTAAATCAAACCGAGCCTGCAACATTTTCAATTTATTTTGTCGTGTTGGGCGTTCTTTAGGGATTCTGTATTGATCTATTTTCTTACGCACAAGTGCCCTAAATAGTTCCGTAGAATCAATCATTCTCAAATACAATATAACAATCATCGATTGTTGTATTTCATATGTAATGCAAAAATGTACGTTAACAATCAATTTTTAATTCAACTTGTAACACAAACTTAAGTACCGCTCAAGCCGGTGCTAGGGGGCGTGAGGGATGTTGCACATTTTCATTATCCCTCATGTACAGACTCAATCAAACCGAGTCTGCAGTTCTCTTGTAATTTTGTTGTGATTAATGCTTCCGAGGGATCACTTTGTTTCCAGAATTTTAAGTATTAGCATATATATCAAGATGACAACAATATTCTTGCACCGTAGAAGAACAAGTCAATATGACCGCCGAATTCAAGTGCAATTTTTTTGTATGATTGTACACACAGTTATGGATTTAAACAGATTCAAAATAATTTACAAGGT